CGAGAAGATATATTACTGGACTGATATTTGTAAGTTTACTGACCTCTTTTTCGACACTGGACTTTGCAACGGAATAATCCCCGAACGGACTGAACTAGTGAATGATATATGGATTGTTTGACTATGCTAAAACTCTTACTGGAATAAACTATTTAACTAGCACAGTGTATCTGTTTTACTGAGTGTAAGCTACAAAAACGTTTATCTCACATATTTGCCTGACTGCCTGACTGCCGTGCACATTCTGCTAGGGTGTATCCCTAACAGAAGAGATAGATGAACAGAGAATGAAACCTTAAACCTCTTAATTTTTTTACAGAGAGGGAGTTATTTCCTTCTCTACCAACTTCAGACTTCCAGAGATGTATGCATGTTAGATGAAAAAACAAAACTGTGGATCTCTCTCTCTCTCTCTCTCTCTCTTCCTTTGGTTATTGTTGATGAATTTTAAAGTAAGATGGATGAAACAGCAAATTTGGGCTTGCTTCTGCTGGAAATGGTTGCATGTTTATAATTTGATTTGTTTGTTTGCCAGCAGAATGGTATAGTGTACTATAGATGGGATGGCCAAATAAATATCAAAGCCCTGGGATTGTCTACCAGCTTCAAGAAACTTTCCTATGGAAATCCTGCTGAGCAGTTAATCTGTTTGCCACTGTAACCCCAAGTTCATAATTGACAGAAAGCCTACCTCTTAGAGGAAAGTTGAATCTGATTGTTAAATGTTTGATTGATTTGCAACAGTTGAGAAAAAGTACCTGATTCCCAGTTAATTCCTATGGGACAGTGGTAAAGCACCTGCCCAAATTCAGTCCTTACTACTCAAAAATAGATGATGAAATTAAAGAGCTCAAACATTCACATTAGCCATTTATGGTACCATTCAGCCAATGTTGTGTTAATACAACACTCGGCTTTATCTCACCATAGCAACAGCTGGGTTGCTGCTAATCAATCACAGATGTGAAAAGGCTCTTTTGCACCTAAGCAGGGCACAAACATGCTTTGGCAACACCCATCTCTCCTGTATCCCCATGTTGCTGCCTCCATTTCATCCTCAGCCCATGACTAAGGTAGAGCTAAGTCATTCTTAAGCTGTACCACTGTTAAAATTGTATTTTTCTCCTTATTCTAATTCTATCCTAGGGTGTCCTCAAAGCATATAAAAACCTTAGGCTTAGGAAGGAGGTCCAAGGAGGGCAGTGAATAGAAACAGAAATTGAGGCAGGATTTATTGTAGACCACCCAATGTGATGTGATGAATAAATAAATAAGATCCTAATATACAGTTTTCTACTGCCAACTCAAGGATGGGTAGAATATAGCATTGCAGCTCAGCTCTAGGGAAGAATCTTTACTATTCCAAATCAGAATGAAAATTGCAGACATTAATGAACAAATAGTCCAATCTGGACTAAAGTAATGTCCTCAGTTCCTACTAATATTCATAAAAAGGGACTTCTTCCCACCTATTGTTGGCTGAAATAAGGAAAACAAGAAATGATGTGTGAGTGGTTGAATGATAAGGACCTGAATCTTGAGCCTCTTGTTCACAAGCTTTGTATCTAAGGACTTATCTGTGCCCTGTTCCCCTTGATTCATAATGACATCTCGGTGTAGTACACTCTAGTTAAACAAAACAAAACAATAGCTGACGTCTCTGAAGCCAGCTCACTGCTCTAAAGTGTATATCACAGTTAGAATAAATATGGGTCAAGGCCATTTAAATCAGCTATTGAAACCAGGAAGAAACAAAACTAATTTGATACGTTTATTTAAGCCAAGCTCTAACAAAGATTGTGTGTGACCTTTAGAATGTGTTAACATCCAAATATTGCCTTAATCTTACTTGACTTCCACTTCTTCTTTTAAATACTTATATTTTGTATATTTTCTTCATTTTTACATAATGAGCACACACCCTTATTAAAATCAATACATTGATCAAAACATTATCCTTTGCTTCTCTTTGCTTCAATGTAGTCCCTTTCCTCTACAGACATAGCAGAAAACAAAATAGAATGCATCAGGATGGTACATAGAGATTAGATCCAATAGTTGAACACTGGATCATCATTCTCCTGTTGAAATCACCCTGTCCAGTTTGATATATTGTAGCGGGTCTGGGAAAACTCATCTTAGCCAACTCGCCATGGCCATCTTGCCGCAGCCAACCCAGCGTGGCCATCTTGCCACAGCCAACTCACTGGGGGACAACTCACTGGGGGCAATCCATGTGGGATAACTCAACTTGATAAATGTTATCCTCCACTGTTTCTTCTACATTTCCATTTTTGTCAATGGAAATAATGTCAAAGAAACAGTGGTGGCTAATGTTTATCATGTTGGGTTATCCCATGTGGAATGTAGATATATTTGTTTGTTTGTTTATTTATTGAATTTATATTACCACCTATTCGCCCATGGCAATTCAAGGTGGCTTACAGAATGTAAAACCATATTTAAAAAAAACCAATAAAAACTAACAAAAAGAATCAAATAAATTAATAAAGTACAATAGAATAAAATCTGGAGAAGAAATCACCACCCAACTCCCACCCCCACCTTGCCCTGACGATCACATGAGCCATTTGATAGGCTCTAGGTTCTCCAGGCCTGCTGGCAGAACCAGGTCTTCAGTGCCTTCCGGAAGAGTATTAGAGAGGGGGCCATTCTAATCTCTGGGGGAATGATGTTCCAGAGAGAGGGAACCACCATGGAAAAGGCCCTTCTTCTGAGTCAGACGTGTATCTCCCTCAGGGATGGGACCCACAGCATTCCCTGCCTCCCCCGCCTTTGATGGGTATATATGGATTATATATATTATAATAATATAATATAGATTGTGTGTGTGTGTGTGTGTGTGTGTAGATGGGTATATCTATATATACAGATTCCTTAATATCGATGTACTTGATAATTTAGAGAAACTAAGCATAAATTAGAAATGTGCATCAGAGCCACTTATGACCTTCCAGCATCCCCGTGGCCACATGATC